CACACACACATTTACACACACATACACAGATACATACATACTCACACTCAGACACACTCACACAGAGACACATACAGATACATACAGACGCAGACAGCCACACCCACAAACATGCACACAGAGACATACATTCATGCACACACATTTACACGCACACATACAGATACATACATACTCACACTCAGACACACTCACACAGATACATAGATACATATAGACACAGACAGCCACACCCACAAAGACACACACGCACAGACATGCATATAGAGATATACACTCAAGCACACACACATTTACACACACAGACCCATACAGAGATACATACATACTCATACTCAGACATACTCACAGATACACATACAGATACATATAGACAGATAGCCACACCCACAAAGACACACGCACAGACATGCATACAGAGACATACACTCATGCACACACACATTTACACACACACATACAGATACATACATACTCACACTCAGACACTCACACAGAGACACATACAGATACATACAGACGCAGACAGCCACACCCATGAAGACACATGCACAGACATGCATACATACACTCATGCACACACACATTTACACACACACACAGATACATACATACTCACACTCAGACACACTCACACAGATACACATACAGATACATATAGACACAGATAGCCACACCCACAAAGACACACACACAGACATGCATACAGATATACACTCAAGCACACACACATTTACACACAGATACATACACACACTCACATGCACACACATTCACACTCATGCTCACACTGACATACACTCACAAAGACACGCGCACACACAGATACACAAGTACACTCATGCAGAGAGAACACACATACTCACCCAGACACCCAGACACACCCTCACAGACATGCACACACACAGATACTCACACACAGAGACACAGAGACGCACATATTCTGCTGGATAACTTTTCCTCCCTTTTCTCTTTCCCCTGATGCATAAAACCACATTCTGTGTGTATGAAGGGAAACTCAGGGGTCTGGGAATCCACATGGGGAAGACAGCAAGGATGGGAGAGCCAGCTCCCTCCCCCAGGCCCTCTTACTTCGCCTCCTGGAGATGAGGAGACCAGGAACTCCAACAAAACCAAGGTTCTTGGTCTTTTTAGGGGCCCTGTCTCTCCCCTCCCTGCCCCATGACAAGTCTGGTGAAGCCCAGGGGGTCCAGGACACACAAGACCCCGGGTCTGGTCCATTTGAAGAGGAGGAACCTGCAGCCAGAGATAAGAGTGTTCATCCAGCTTCATACAAGTAATGTCTAAGATAGGATGTGAACACTTTCCATTTGGCCGCGGTGCCTTCGGGGCCGGGGTTGGGTTCAAATGACCTAACGCTCAGAGGGTCAGAGATGTAAAGCTGAAAGGGACCGTGGAGGCTGCTGAGTCCAGCTCACTGAGAGGTCTGGGCAGGATTCTAATTCAGGTCTTCTGGACTCCAAGTACGGAGCTCGATCACCTAGCTATCTCACATCTTATGAAGCCCTGAGTTGGAATGGAACCAGTGATCTAAGAGTACAAGGCAATGCTAAAGTACGTCTTTGTATTAGTGATAATTACCAGAGATAACTACAAAATTGGTTTCCTTAATGTTCACAGGATCATCGATTTGGGCCAGAAGGCCCATCAAGGCCATGGAGTCCAAGGCCTTCATTTTAAAGATTAGGAACTTGAGGCAGATGGAAGACACACAGCTATTAAGTGTCTGAGGCAGGATATGAACCCAGGTCTTTCTGGCATGGCCTCTTCTCTTACAGGCCCCCTTCCACTAAGGCTGCTTATGGTGCGTGAGTCAATTCACCTCTGTTAGTAACAAGAGCGTCCATGCCAAAAGACGCCCACCCGCCAGGCATGAGATGGAGTCGCCAGGGAGTGGCCGCCATCTTGTCGCTGTGCAGCTCATATGAATGTTTCTATCTCAGCTCTCTGTCAGTGGGGCGGCCCTGGGGAAAGATGCCCAGGCTCCTCTGGGGCTCCTCCCTCTTCTGCCTCCTTTTCAGCCAGGACGGGCCGGCCGGCCAAAGAGAAGGCAGATGGCAAGGCCAGAGCCCAGAGGAAAGAGCCTCTGGCCACAAGGCGTCAAGGTCTGGGCGTTCTTAACGAGGCTCTGGGACAACGGGGAATGCGGGACTGGCCCTCGTCTTACAGAGGAGACTGAGGCCAGGGAGGCTGAGCGGCCTCACCAGAGGACCACAGATCCAGAGCTAAAGGTGACTTCAGAGGTCCTCGTACGGATGAGGAGACTGAGGCCCAGAGTAACGCTGAGTGTGGCAGATACCGCCTCTAGCAAAAAGACTTCCAACAACATCTGAAACCAAGGTAACCTTTTCTGGGGGCACCAGTACGGTGAGGGGAGCCTCCATGTGACCAGCTGCGGGATCCGGCCCATGCCTGGGGGGTGGAGACACCCAGGCCCCCCCCCCCCCAACAACAAAAAGTTGCTTGGAGGTTAACTGACTTGTCCAGAGTCACAGAGATTTGAGCTGGGTCTGCCGACTCTCCCTTTCTACTGCACCATGGGGAAGTGACTAGATCGTAGGATTTTGGAGTTAGGTGAGCCTTGAAGAGCTGATCTGGGCGCTCCGCTTCCCCTGCCTAGGCCTCAGTTTCCCCAGCTGTAAAATGAGGGGGCCGGGCCTGACGGCCTCTGAGCTCTCTGCTGGGTCTCAATCCAGGATTCCCTCCTGAGACACGGAGGGGCTGTGGTCCGGGGCGGCCCCCCCACCGAGCAGACCCCGGCTCTCCCAGCCCGATGGATCCTGCTCGACGAGCCTGGAGCTGTGAGGGGCGCCCACAGCAGATGCCGAAATGACCACTCACCGCAAAGACGCCTCGAACCACCCATCCGTGGTGCTGCCGCAACGTCTTGCCGTAGGCGTTGTCTTTAAAACAGAAACACAAACAACTCTGTGAGAAACTCTCCCCCGAGGACTGACAGTTCTACATGCGTGTGCATGTGCGTGTGTGTGTGTGTGTGTGTGTGTGAAGAATCAAAAGCCTACGGGGAAAGCAGATCGGCTGACGCGGCCGGGGACATCCACACCGTCAGTCACGGGGAGAAGCGAGGCCTCTGACTGAAGGAGGCGGCCAGGAGGGCTCACGGAGCGGGACAAAGATCTGGCTACATAAAACCGCAGCGAACCAGAGCAAAAAAACAAGGAAAGAAGACGAGGTGGGGGCAGGGAGGAGGTCTCAAGAGACCCCCAAATTCTATAAAATAAGGTACAAAAACAGCACTCTGCAAACCACATCGGGAAACAGCTAACAAACGTCACCAACATTTGTGCCCATTATTTATTTCTTAAGGAAAAAGCGACAAATGACAGCAGAACTCTGATGAACATGCGGCTTCCAAGGCCCGACCATGAAGCAGGCCTTCCTCTCTCTGCCGAGAGGCGGTGGACTGCTGGTGCACAGCGAGGCGTGAACCGTCAGCCGCGGCAGGCATCCACTTTCTCTGAACGATCGAACTTTTCTTTTTTAAACGAGGATGAGTCCTGCTGGAGGGCAGGGACCGCCCTCTCCCTTTGCCTGGATCCCCAGTACGGGGCACGGCGCCCGGCACACGGTATGGGGACAAAGGGAAGAGGCATTTATTAAGTCCCTGCTAAGAAAGCACTTTGCAAAGCGTACTGCCAGGCGGGAGGGTAGAAATGTTTAAACCGTGAGGAGGCAGGCGCAGGATCTGGAAACGTGATGGAGGGGGGAGCAAAGGCACCCGTGGGCCGCCCTACGTGAGCCGTGGCAGCTGCCAGGCCGTGAAGGCGCATGGCCTGAGGGGCAGACAGATCTCCTTCTCTTGTCCTTCCTCAATCCACAAGGCCTTTTCTGGATTACTGAAATGATTTCAGGCGCATCCCCTCCTCTAAAAATCAGCACATGTGTATGCCTCTGCTCACACGATGCAGCCTTTTCCATCTATGGGACCCTGGGAAAGCCGCTCAATCACTCCTTGCCTCGGTTTACCCATCTACCAAATGGGTATGATAACGGCTCACTATTAAGGAACTGAGCCTCAGCTGGGCCACCAAGGGAGGCTCTGCCCTTTCTAAAACTCAGCTGGACGTGGGGCACGGCCCTCAGGCCCACATGTGACTGTGAAGCGGAAAAATCCAAGCTGAGCTGATGAAGTAAACCTCAGCGCCCAGATGTAAAAGGCAAAATGAGAAAAATGAGACCCTGCCCTCAGGGAGCTTCCACTCTATTACAAGGCTGCATCGTGTGAGCAGATGCATACACACATGCTGGTTTTTAGAGGAGGGGTCAGCAGAGGCTTCCTCTAAGAGAGGGTAAATGATCTAAGCCTCTAATGGAGCCAGGGATTCCAAAAGGCGGAGGGGAGGGGACAGCCTGGGCAAAAGCAGGGAGGTTGGAGATGAGCTTTTCTTCTTACGTATTAGGTACATTCAACGTGGAACTTTCAAAGCTGGCCAGACACTCTGAGTCTCCTTCTGGCCTGCCTTCCATGCCCTCAACTACAGCATGCTGCTGCTCCTTAATTTCTATCTGGGACAAAAAAGTGGTCTCCTTGGTGGTGAGTGGGGGTATCGGCGAGGGAGGGGGAGGTGCCTTGAGCCCCAGAATCGTGGGCGGTTACTCTGCGGACACCGATACTTTTGATTCTGATCTCTGCAGGCTGAACAGAAGGAGGCAGCGCTTACAGGGCTAAGGGAGTGACAGCCCCTGGTCAGAGCACATCCGGAGGGCTGGGGGCCCTGCTGGATTCACATTTCAGCAAGAATGTCGATAAGGTGGAGAATATTCAGAGGAGGGCAATCAGCACGACGAAGGGGTTTGAGCTTTAGTCATGGCTGGGAGAGGGGAGATGGTCCCTGGGCCAGCAGGACATGAACCCATTGGCTCCTTGAAACAAGATGAAAACTCAACCCCGTCCCCAAATCCAGGGAAGTCCTGAGGCAGCTCTCGGCCGAGGCTCTTGGAAGGCCCAGGTCGCCTTGATTCTCTCCCTTTGCTTCTCGCTGACCCCAGCCCTTCCATCCCCCAAAGCATCTCAGCATCCCGGAGCTGGGAGGGGCCTCAGAGACAGCAAATGCAGATTCACAGGGGAGGAAAGTGAGGCCGAGGAACCCAGAGGCTCTCTGACCGGAGCTAGCACGCTTTCCCCGGCCATCCACAGCCACAAAGAGTCTGCCATCTATGCAAACAATCCCTTCATCAACTCTCTTAATCTGCCTTCAAAAGAAAAAACAAACGAACAAGCAGATGCCCCGCTTTGGAGAGGTCCTCTGAGTTAATGCAAGACCAAAATAAATGTTCGCTGCCTTCCTAATTGTACCGTATCACGCAGATGTGGGGAACGTTTTTGTAGTCATTAAACAAATGTACCTAATGAGAATGAAAAGTAGGCAATCAGCCCCGGGGCGGTGGGGAGGGCTTTTATATCGTGGCAAAGAGGTCGAGTCTCAGAATTAAATTAAGCACACGAATGTTCTTGCCGGCTGAGAAGTCACATGGACAAACTGAGGAAGGGTGAAGAAAAGGGTCCCCCAAACTGGAAGGGAGAGGAAAGCTTCCAGACTATTCCTACCCCAGGTCATGTGGCTGATGATTCTTGTCTTGAGAAAGCAAGTAAGTGATAAACCCAGTCTGGAAACACAGATTCACATTCCAACAATGATCAACTTGTGATTAATAATAATGATAAAAAAATAAAATGGCACAGTGCTGACTTACTCAGGGCCGTCTGGATATCCTTTTCTCCATTCTTCACTTCCGTCAAGAAACCCTTCAAAAACTTCAGTCCTCTGCGGTGGGGAAATAAAACACGGGCATGGAGCAGTCCGCGTTTGGCAGTCAAAGCCTACCGGCGCAAGGAGGGGCCTTTGATACTCTGGTTCTGTCCGGCTCCAGAAAAGGAGTCAAATTGAGGCTTGCTGGGAGGAAAGGTTTCCCAGCGAGAGTGATCCCAAAGAGGAACGGGTGGCCTTGGGAGTGTCGGCCGAGGCTGGATGACCACTGGCCGAGGATGTTGTCAGAGGAGCTCATCCTCAGGCACAGGGTGAACTGGATGGCCTTGGAGGTCCCTTCCATCTCCGGGGTTCAGGGATTAGCCCAACCCCTAATTTTACAGATAAAGGATGCGAGGCCCAAAGGTCCCATGATCAGCGAGGGCCTGAGCTGGGCCGTGACAAACGAGGAAACTGCGGCCCAGAAGGGTAACTCACCCAGGGTCAAATAAGCATGAAGGACCAGAGCTCTCACACAAACCCAAGTCCTCAGAATATAAGCCCCTTGAGGGCAGGGATGGATTCACTTTGGGGCCTGGCACCTAAGAGGAATTTAATCAATGCCTGCTGGCTAACGAACTGACTCCCTATGAGACCATTATCAGGATGATGACGTGGAACTGAAATGAAGTCCTGTCTCAAGTTACAACCCACCAGAGCTGACTGTCCTTTTGTGAATCGGGTCCTCCGTGAAGCATTGTTCCCGGTTAGTAAACTCCTTCCCAGACCAGCTCAAGGGTAGAGCCAGGGCAGGGCTGTCCCCAGGCCTCTCCTCACCTCTTTAGCCACAAGAGGGCCTCCGTGGCTGAGTTCCTGACCTGAGCCACGTTTGCACTCACTTCATGCAGCACGATCTTCTGGAGGGTGGTGAACTCTTCCTTGTTGGTGATGTACTTCTGATTAACTTTCTGCAGGAGAAGAGAGGGAGGGCAGGTCAGCGATGGAACCCAAGCCAAACGGGAAGCGGTTTGGGGCCCGAGAGGAAGAAGGCTGCCAAGAAATGAAAGTTAGGGGAAGCAGCGTGAAGAACCCCCAGGAACCTGGGTTCAAATCTTGGCCCTCCCACTTTCTGTCTACATGGCCTCAAAAAATCCCAACCTTGATGGGTCTCAGCTTCCTCACCCATAAAATGAGGCTGGGTTGGGCACTGTGGTACAGCAGGAAATCAGAATATTTGGGTCCAAATCCTACCTTTGATGTTTAACGTCTACATGATCTTGGGAAGCCTCCCCTTCCCCTGGTTTCACTTTCCTTATCCTTAAAGTAAGAGGCTTGGATTCGAGGACTTCCCTTCCTGAGGATGATCAGGCTGAAGTTTAAACCAGGTTTAAAATTACATAAAATGTGTGACCTTGGGCTAGTCATTTAACCTTCTATATAAAGAAAGGGGCTTGGACTCCGAGTTCCCTTCCGGCCCAAGGTCTAGAACCCTATGACTTCCTTCTGCTGAACTGGGCTTTCAATGCTTTCTTCAAATAGATCTCTCAGGGGCAGCTGGGTGGTGCAGTGGATGGAGCGCCGGCCCTGGAGTCAGGAGGACCTGAGTTCAAATCCGGCCTCAGACCAATCACTTGACACTTACTAGCTGTGTGACTCTGGGCAAGTCACTTAACCCCAATTGCCTAAAAAACAAAAAAACCCAACAACAACAAAGAGATCTCTCGCAGCTGCCTGAAAGACAGGAAGGGCTGGGAAACTCAGCACCTTTCTGAGAAGTGGCGCCCACACAACTGCTTCCTGTTCCCGTGCAAAGTCAGGGCTGAACAGCAGTTCCAATTTGCACTAACAAGTGCTTAATAAGAGGCTTAATAAAGCCTCTTTCTCCAGCACCAGGGAGGGAGGGTGGGGATGGCAAAAGAATCCCCATTCCCCACCCGGCTGGTCCAAGCCTTTGCATCCAGATGGGGAAGGCTCCTTCTGAGCATCAGAAGAGGACTCATCTGGTCATTTCAGAGGTGAGGAGGCAGAAGCCCAGAGAGGTCCAGTAACTTACTCAAGGTCACACAGCTGGTTAATGGAAGAAGCAATTAGAGTGCCTGGGTCTCTGTGCGCTCCCTGAGGGACAATGCCCTAATTCACTGTACAGACACTAACCGGGCAGCATCAGTGGGGCCTGGAGTAGAATCTCATGGATTCACTTCTGCATGTGAAAAGGGAAAAACTCCAGGTGGGATCTATTCAATGCAATGCCATACACATATATGAAGTGCCTTCTGTATGCCAAGCACTGCTGGATACAAAAACAAAGATGAGAGACAGCCTCAGCCCTCGTGGTGACTTTGGACTCAATACACTCACTGGCAAGTGTAATCTTGGGCAAGACGCTTCTCTGCTCTGGGACTCAGTTTCCTCCTCTGTCACATGGGAGAGGAGTCATTTTGAACCACAAGATAACAGCTCGGGGTCACTTAAATGCCTGTCAGGAGCCAGACATCATACTGGGGACATAAAGACCAAAAATTTAAAAAGGCTTTTACTCTCAAGGGGCTTCCAATCTACTGGATGGTATGACATGAATACATATAAGTGAATAAATACAAAGTAATTGTAAAAGGGAGAGATCATTCTTAAGAAGGAGATGAAGATGCTTCTGAGAAGGCAGCACCCAAGCACAGTCTTAAAGGAAACTAAGATCATAAAAGACAGAAGGAAGGAAAGAAGGAAGGAGGGAGTGCACTCCAGGTATCAGGCACAGCTTGTGCAAAGGTAGAGAGGCTTGAGACGACATGCTCGGATGGATAAAAAGCAACAAACAGGTGAGAAAGTCACATGAGTAAGCAGCCATCCCCTTCACATCGGGCACAAATGAAGGCTTAGCTGCTGAACACCCACCTGGCGTGGGATGTATGGGATTTGCAGACATGAAATACCGACATTATTCTACCCCTTCAATATAGGAGATGTCCTTATTTTCTTAGGTACCAGTGCATACTTCAGAGTTTATTTATTTATTTATTTATTTTTGGCTAGGCAATGGGGTTAAGTGACTTGCCCAGAGTCACACAGCTAGTTAAGTGTTACGTGTCTAAGGCCGAATTTGAACTCAGGTCCTCCTGACTCCAGGGCCGGTGCTCTATCTACTGCGCCACCTAGCTGCCCCCTTGAGTTTATTTTTTTTAATCACAATCACAAAATGTTGTAACAGGAAGGAAACCTGTGGGCCCCTCTGGTCCCACTTCTTAAAGACGAGGGACCTAAGCCCAGGCCCAGAGAGGGCAAGTGATCTGCCCAGAGTCACACTGCTGGTTAGTGACTCAGCCACAGTCAGAGCACCTGGCTCTTTGTCCTTTATTTAAAACTATGGGTGCAGAGGTACAATCATGCTCACCTTAATATTTCCAACAAGGTCCATTTTAACAGGAGCAAAGACTGTCGGGCCAAGTTTATCTAGAAAGAGAGATGGGAAATGTGTTATTTTGGCATTTTCAAGCCACCCCACTCGACAAGTTGCTGTGGTGTCCTGGGGGCTGAGGATGCGAAGACAGGTACAGTCCTGCCCTCCAAGGGCTGACACGCCACTCTAAGAAATAACATGTACCTGCTGACTGGTTAGTGATTCTGAAGGAGGCAGGCGGGTGAAGGGGAAAGAGTGCTGGAAACACAGGTCCCGGATTCAAATCCTGACTCTGACGCTGCCAGGTGACCTCAGACAGTCCACCTCATTTCCCTAGGCCTCAGTTTCCAGCTGGCCTTCCAGCCCCAGAGCTAGGATCCTAGGACTTTGCCCCAACTAATGACATTATCCTGAAGTCAGTTTCTTGGGAGATCCAAAAGCACTAAATCTGAAGAGGCACAGAGGGTTTCTAGGCCCCCCTACCCAGATTTTCCCATCAGGGTGACCTTCCTTTAAACGTCCAGGAAGTCACTTGGAAGACGGATCTCAAATCTGGATCAAGTAAGATTAGCAAAAACACAGCCCACAGTATTTGCCAATGAGAAGGGGATGTCCCAACATGTCATTAATGTACCTCCTACCCCGAGTGCTTTGGACGTCTTTGTACTAACTTATTTATCCATCTCTAAGCTGTCTCCTTCTCCGTGTGACAGAATGTAAGGTCCTTGAGGCCAGAGACCTTTTTTCCTCTTTTGTCTTTGTATCATCTTTAAGGCCTAAAACATCGATTGGCATGCAGTAGGTGCTTAATAAATGCTGATTAAATAAATGAATGATTTCCCCCCCAAGAACTGCATACCCTTTAATTCTTATTTCCTTTGGGTAGGTCACATATGGAGAACACCAGCATCCATGAGATACCCAAGAAACAAGAAGAAGGCAGGCCTTGGCATGCTCATCACAGTTCAACAAACACTTACTGAGCGCCTACTCCAAACAAACCATGAACGTCTGCCAAATTTGTCCTTTGTATAAGGCCCTGTACGAGGCTCTGGAGATAAAGATGAAAAACGTCATCTTACCTCAGAGGAGGGACAGGAAGGAGAGAGGACGAGGACAAGAAGATGTAAACAGGCAAATGTGATACGAGGTAAGGAAGATTTGAGGTTTTTGCTCAGACCTGATTTCACAGGATCACAGATTTAGAGACGGACGGGATCTCAGAGGTCATTTGGTCCAACACCCTCATTTTACAGATGGGGAAACTGAGGACCAGAGAGGGGCGGTGCCTTGCCTAGGGTTGCACAGGTACGGGTCAGATGATGGCTTTAAACTGACTTCACAGCCAATAAGGGGCCTTCCTGGAGTACTTCACCCCTGTGCTCTGACATCCCCTCACCTCCCACCAGGACCACTGCAATGGCTGCCGGGAGTCTGCCAGCCTCAGTCTCTCCCCACTCCGGCCCATCCTCCATCCAGCCACCAAGGTGATTTCCTCAAAGCCTAGGCTGCCCCATGGCCCCCCCCCCCCCCCCCACTCAATAAACGTCAGTGGCTCTCTATGACTTCCAGGATCACATACAAAATCCTCTGTTCGACCTTCAAAGCTGGCCCCCTCCTCCCTCTCCTGTCTTCTCACCCTTCCCTCCCCAACACACTCCCTCTGATTCAGTCACAGCGGCCGCCTGTTCCACAAACAAGACCCTCCATCTCTTGGCTCTAGGCATTTCCTCTGGCCATCCATCCCCCAGGCCTGGAGGGCTCCCCCTCCTCTGCTCTGACCACTGACCTCCCACCCCAGCCCCTTGATTATCTCCTATTTATCCTGAGGATAGCTTACTCTGTCTATGTCTGTTTGCACGATGGCTCGCCCTCAGACTGCAAGCTCCTCGAGGGCAAGAATAGTCATTGCCTCTTTTTCCATTCCCACTGCTTAGCACAGTGCCTGGCATACAGCAGGTGCTTAACAAATGCTTGTTTCTCTTCCCCCTTCCCTTTGGCAGCCTCATGAAGCTTATACGCCCCTTCTCAGAGACCGTCTAGGATGCACGCAGTGAAATACAGAGGATTCCAAAGGAAAGCACATGCATCGCAATGCACACTTATCTATCCACCCACAGGGCCTGTGGACCCCGGCTCTCTGAGGCCCCGGTGGGAAAAGGGGGATGAGACACCGCCAAGGGCTGTGACCTCCAAAGGCTGACGGCGCGCTCTTGCCAATGAAATCCGAGATTCACCAACGCTCCACCCAACTGACAAGCATGTATCTTCGCTGCAGTTTTGTTTCCCTTTTCAGGATCAAAAATTAAACCAAACCAAAACACCTCCAAGCTCTGTGTCCCCCTCTGCGTTAGCCCTGGGGCACTCTCTGAGGGCTCGAGCTCTCTCCCCAGCTTCCCACTGGACCACAGGTCTCAGGCCTCAGCTTGGAGACCACTGCTTTGTTTCTTCATGGAGAAGCCACTTTTTCAGCAGAGCAGCCGATGATAAAGGGAGGGCTCCGTGACTTGGGTCTGCAGGGGTATGGGGTGAAGCGGTGGCCAGGGGAGCACCACAGACCATTTCCCCTGGGCACAGACCTCAGCGAGACACCCGGCTGAGAAATAAAAGGCCGACCTGCCCATCTTACCTAGAACCGGAACTATGGCGTAGCATGACTCCAGGAACGCTTCAGTGGGGATGCCGCTGTCTTCCAGGAGCTCAATGTCGCTAAAGCTGAGCATGTGGGTAACAGAGAGGAGGGAGAAATGAAAGCCCCATCCAGATGATAACAACGATACTAGTCGTCAGCCTGGTGCTGTGAGGTTCACCTACCACCCAATCCACAAGCATTTACCGAGGGCCTGCTCTGTGCCAGGCACTGTGCGAGGTGCTGCAGAGACAGAAACGATCGATGCAGCAATCCCTCCGTGCAAGGAGGCTGCATTCTGCTCTGCTGTGCCCTCCGGAGTGCTTGTTTCATTATTAATAAGTCACCCTTTGTAGACCTGGGCCCTCCCTTCCAGACATTACTGCGCACACCTATTCTGTACTTAATCTTCCATGCATATTTGGTTTCCTCCAAGTAAAATACAGGTGCTTCTGTAGCATAGTGAGTGCTTGATAAATCATAAATTCATATTCCCATCTGTTAACTAAAGACCCTAGTATTCTTTTTTTTATTTTTTGCTAAGCAATCAGGGTTAAGTGACTTACCCAGGGTCACACAGCTAGTAAGTGTCAAGAGTTTGGTCTGAGGCCGCATTTGAACTCAGGTCCTCCTGATTTCAGGGCCGGTGCTCTATTCACTTCGCCACCTAGTTGCCCCCTTGTCCCTCCCTTTCTTAAAATTAAGGATTTGCCTATAACCAGAGAAAAAGTAGCTTCCAAAAGACTAGTATGAAAGAAGGTTTAGATTTCTTCTGAGGATATAAACACCTTCCTTTCTCAAAATCCAAGTGTCATTTATCTTAATTCTTCTGGCAAGATTCTCTTGTGGTCATAAACTGCAAAATCCATTCACCCACACCCCTGCTCACGGGAAAAGCAGCCAGGCACGGGGCTCCCGCTAACATGACAGACGTGGCATGGGATAATACCTGGTATTCATGGCACTGAAGAAAGTCTGGACCTCCTCCTTTTCCTCTTCCAGCTGTGCCCCAGGAGATTCACTTACAGGATTCATGCCCGTGGGATGCTCCCGTGGGGGCTCCACGTCACTCTCAGGAGGCGTTTCTATGTCTCTTTCTCCATCATCCTTGATTTCATCACTCTGGACTTCAAAGAAGAAGAATATAACCATCAGTCATGCCTGCTCCTTCCCCAAGGACAGAAATGAGGAGGGGCGTGTGGAGGTGTGGGGAGTGCACAGGTGTGGATCAAGGGCCCAACAGTTTTGAGGAATGTTTTCTTTTTCTTTTCCTTTTTAAAAATTCTCTGGAAGAAGGGGATGGGGATGGATATGGAGGAAACCAAAGTGATGTAAAAACACAATTTATCAAGTAAAATCTATTATTAAAACCAAACAAACACACCAGTGCCCCTCTCGCTTCACACTTCTGTAATCAGTGACAGAGCTAATGAAGCCAGGACATTCAGGCCAGGTTCGCTTTTTTTTTTTTTTAATGACAACTAAGATCTCAAAGCGTTGCATTTCAGATCTATCTGTAAAAGCGGGGTTTTTTAATAAAAAAGCTACTTTGGGGAAGGTAAAGAGGGAAACCATTTTTTAAAAAGCCACAGTAACAGTTCAGCATGAATGGACCAAAGCACCGAATGTGTACGGTAGCGAGCCCTTCAAAGCATGGCCTTTGGTATGACCGAGTACCTGCCCAATGGAGCTGTGGTAACCGAAGTCTAAGGCCACACAGAAGTCTCACCAGCAGCGGGGCACGGTATTAGAGAACACAGAATCATAGGACCATAAAACTGGAGCTCGAAGGAACCCCAGAAGTCATCTGGTCTGCCCCAAACCCCATTGTAGGCATGAGGAAAGTAAGGCCATCTCTCGTGACAAAGAAAGACAAGTCAACACTTGGGTCTTGTGCACAAAATTCCACACCCATAGTCTCCCACCACTCCAAAGAAAGGAGGGAGGTGCACCATTTCATGTCCTCTTTATTTTTACCTATTAAATACCCATCTTTATTTTATTTTTATTTTTACCTGTTACTTTTCTTATTTTTACCTATTAAAAGATCTTCTGCACTTTCTTCAGTTGACAAGCAGTTCCCCTTCTCGGTGGGCTTCGCACATGAGGGGATCTCGCTTTTAATTAAGGTTTCTTCGGAATAGCTCATTTCCGTATTTAAGGATCCATTTTCACAGCTGTTCAATTCTATCTGCCTAAAAAAACCCCAAAACCAAACAACAATGCATCACTTGGTCATAAAGAGAACAATAACAGAGCCACTGAGCCGCCATATTTTACAGAAGGCCTTCCCACCCCAGCCCTGGGTAGATCCTTGGGAACAGCTAGGGAAGGAATCATCACTCCCCATTGGAAGTGAAGGCCCAGGGTTGGTCTAGCTGTGCATGCCCGGGGGCTCCGGAGGACGGTGGGACCACTGCAGGCCCGAGCTTCTCTGGTCTCCCCCTTCTCCTCGCTCAAGGGATGAGAGAATCAAGGCTCGGGGAACATCACAAAAATAACGCCGCAGAATCAGGCCTGGGACTCAGAACATGGCCATGTCTCTCATTAGAAAGTAAACTTCTTAAGGGCAGGGCCCACTAGTTGCCCACCATCATCCAATCCCATAAGTCAAGTCAACAAGCATTTATTAAACACCTACTGGGTGCCAGGCCTGCACTGTGCTAAGTAATGAGGATACAATGAATGGGTCTCTGCTCGCACGGGGCTTGCGGGGTAATAATGCCGAGGGTAACCTGGCCCCCTCAGAGGAAAGGCCCTGGCATTTAAGGTGGGCATTCAGGAAAGGCTTCTTGAGGCATTTCAGTGCTAGCTAAGGACTAGACCTCCCCACAGACAAAATAAAACCAGGCCCTGCCCTCAGGGGGTTTATATTTCCCTGGACTTTGCTCAGACCAAGCTCCCTGGGATTCCATCATAAAGACAGGCAAAATCAAGAGGCCTGGGAAGCACCCTCTTCAGTGCCTCCTGCGTCCCCCTCCCCAGGTAGGTGACGTCTGCATTTCCCATGAGACATAAAACAGGGGAGGGGGCTGCGTCCCAGCTGCGGAGGGCAAGGAGCCATTCACAGCTTTTCCAGACCAGCGCCCTCCAGGAAAAAAGACATTAATTAGTAATGGTTTGCCTTCTCTCACCTCTCCCGCTGGGCCTCATATCCCCCTAAGCCATGCTTGGGGTGAGCACCTGGGAAGCAAGTCTAATGGGAGAGCCCCCAGCCCCACAATCCCATCTGGAGCCTTGCTACCAGTGCGACCCCAGAAAAGGCAATTCACTCCCCTGACCCTCGGTTTCCTTAATTATAAAAGGAATAGTTGCCTCTCAGATCGCATATACAAATGTGCCACATACCATAAACTATTCAGTCCAGCTATTAAATATGCAGACGACATGAACACATGGAAATGTTTGTGTGAATAGCAGGAATAAGGGCGGGACTTAAGATTGCACTGAGAGACGGAACCCCGGCAGAGAAAGTCTCTATCAGTGTAGGTCAGCACTTTCCTTCCAACGGACAGTCTTAGAGATCTGTGGACAGCACTTTATTTTATTTTTAGTTTTTTGAAGTTATATTTTATTTTTTATTATTTATTTAGTATTTAACCCCCCCAATTATGTCTAAAAACAATTTTTAACATCTGCTTTTTTTTTAAATTTTAAGTTTTAAATTCTCTCCGTCCTCATCGAAAAGGCAAGCAATCTGATATAAGTTCTACACTGTGCAGCATGTTAGAGGTTAAGTGACTTTACCAGGGTCACACTGTCTCTGTCAGAAGCAGGATTAAACCCAAATCCTCAGCATCCAAACCCAGAATTCTTTCTACTACACTGCCCCCATCATCTCAACTATGTACAAAAGCACCCCAAATCAGGAGAGAATCTGGGGTGCTGTAAAAGTCTAGATTATTTTCTTTTGTCCTATCAAATTAAATTCATAAACATACACATAGAATCTTCTTATGACCAACGTAGGCGGGAACTAAGTGTTAATTCTTCAAGGGAGAAGTTCTTTTTTTTTCTTTTTTATTTCTTTTCAAGGGAGAAGTTCTAATCTATACACAGCCCTACAGGACCAGAGGGAAATAAAGTCACTGGAATAAAGTCACAGTGGGCGAGAGGCTGCCCACAAAGGAGATGCATAGGGAAATCTAATGACCAGCGGACAGGGTGCAAGCAGAGAGGTTCTAAGCTCACTGAAAAGGGAACTTTTGTCCAGGTGAGGCATGCACATCCTAGGCAGATTAAAACAGTAACCAGCTCATGTTATTATCAACAAAGAAGGAAAGAAAGAAAGAAAGAGAGAACTGTACCTTTCCAGAGTGCTGTGAATCGGTATGATGGGAAGTTTTGTCTTTAAAAGAAGAAAAAAAAAAGTTCACACAAACAACTTCTAACACATTAGCCCCATAATTCTGGCCAGCATGGAAGGCCAGCCCCGTGCATGATGCCCACTTGACACTGGCAATCTTGGGTGGTCACGGGGGAGGGGGTCACAGCAGCCACCAGCCCCCGCTGTCATTTGTCCAAATAGGACACCTAAGGACACGTTCCTTAACATGGGATATGTCCACAGACTTGGGGTATTTTTTCTGAAAATTATGTCTCCATGTAATTGGCCACCTCTCTAATTCTACGTATTTTATTCTGGGTGTTAAAAACCACGATTCTGAGAAGGAGTCCGCAGGCTTCCCCGGAGGGCTGCCGAGGGGTCTGGAGCACCAAAAGGGAAAGAGGGCAAGAGGGTGGTCCTCTGGGAGACTGAACCATCCCATCCCAACACTGTCGGACCTAATTTCAAATGTCCTCCCAATCAGAGGGGGCTCCTAAGCAGAGCCTTGGGAGGCAGCCCCTCACCCTGACGCTTTGGGCAGGGGTTGCACGACCGCCTGTCAGGCATCGTGGTCAAGTGTCCACTGGACCAGAGGCCTCTGACTTCTCTTCCAACTCAGAGACTGAGTCCTAAAATGTGCCCAAGTTAAATGAGGGGCTCCTAAAGAGGAAAACTCAAAGTCAGCCAGTCAGCAAGCATTTATCAAGGCCTTACAATGTGCCAGGAGCTGTGCTGCAGGTGGTGGATACAAAGAAAGACAAAAACACAGTTCCTATCCTCAAGGAGCTCACAGCCTGATGGGGAGACAACATTCAAATAATTATGTACACCCAACACACACACACACACACACACACACACACACACACACACACACACACACACACACACACACACACACACACACTGTAAATGGGAAATAATCTCAGAGGAACAGGACTAGCACTGGGGGCACTGGGGAAGACCCCTCGCAGATGGTGCGACTGGAGCAGAACCCTGAAGGAAGCTGAGGCTGGGATGGAAGGCATTCCAGGCATAGGGCACAGCCAAGACAAAGACATGGAGGCAGGAGATGGACTGCCACGTGTGAGAAATAGCAAATCGGCTAGTGAGCTGTATCCCAGTGTGAGGGAGGGGATGGAAACGTAAAAAGACTGAAAAGGAAAGCCTGCTCAGGTTGTCCCTACAAAGGGTGCTGGGGACCCTCCCTCAAAACACCCCCTAAAACTAAGTTCGGTGTACTTTCCTCACCCTTTGCAGCCAGTACAGGTGAGCCCCCTCGCGCCAATAGCACCGCCTCACCTTACTGGGCTTGAGCACCGCCAGCTGGGGGGAGCCCGGGGGGGTCCGGTACAGCAGCTCCGACGTGAAGGCTGCATTCGCGATCTGCATACATTCTTCCAGCGTCTTCAGAAAGGTGTTGCAGGTCGACTTCAGCAGAGTGCCCACATCGATCCCCTCCTAGGGAAGAACCAGAGAGGGAGATGCCTTTACTTTGCCAAGCTGGACGGTCTGGTGCTCACCACGAGACCGATGACAGACAGGCAGAGGCCGCCATTTTGTTGGGTGACGCCACACCACTTGACCACGGAAATGTAAGAATGGCTCACTCAGGGCTGTCTGTTAGTCAACCACATACAAGTCTAAGTTAAGTCATGATCTCTAACATAACCCCAAATCAGGACGGAGCCTGCAGCAACTGTGTGGAGTTCGAGGGCTGGTGGGCTTAAGGAGGGAACTTGGCTCACGATGGAAACCAAACTGAGATCTGGGAGAGCGGCGTTATGAGTCATCGATTTAGAGCTGGGAGAGACCTTAGAGGTCTTCTAGGCCAAATCCCTCATTTTACAGGTGAGGAAGCTGAAAATCAGTCAGTCAACAAGCATTTATTAAGCACCTACTATATGACAGGCACTGTGCTAAGAGAGGCAGCTAGGTGGTACAGGGGACAGGGCAGTGGTGCTGGAGTCAGGAAGAAGTGAGTTCAAATCCAGCCTCAGACACTCAGTAGCTGTGTGACCCCAGGCAAGTCACTTAACCTTGGTCAGTTTACTCATACATAAAATGCAGATAATAATAATATGGACCTCCCAGGGTTGTTGTGAGGATCAAATGAGATATTTGTACAGTGCTTAGCACAGTAGGTGCTTAATAAATCCTCCCTCCCTCTTTTCCTTTCTGTCTCCTTCCCTCCTTTCTTTCCTCCCTTCTTCCCTCCCTCCCTCCTTCCTTCCATCCTCCCTCCCTTTTTTCCTTCCTTCCATCCTCCCTCCCTCCCTCTCTCTTCTTCCTTCCCTCCTTCCTCCCTCCCTCTCTCCTCTTCCTTCCCTCCTTCCTTCCTCCCTCCCTCTCTCCCTTCTTCCTTCCTCCCTCCCTGCTACAAAGAAAGGCTAAAGACAGCCTCCGCTCTCAGGAGCTCACAGTCACAACAATACAAACAAGGTGGAGATGGGGGACACTGGCGGTAATTCACAGGGGGCAGGCACGAAGACTGAGTGGGATGAGGGAGCAAAGTCTCCTTCCCAGGGTCTCCGGCTGGCTTGGGGGATGGAAAGGGCCCCCACCCTCCAGATGTGTCCTTTCCATGTTTTCCTGATGCCTGTAAAAACCACGTGCGTCACATTATCTTTTTCCAAATGGGGTTTCTGCCCTTTGTACTGATGCGGTCTCGAGCCTGGCACAACGCACCCTATCCATTTACCCCGACGAATGTTGTGTCTTAACGTTTACATTAAGTGACTTGTCCGGTCACTTCTGGCCCATGACGGACAAGAGCTTTGTGCTAATGAGGCCAAGGCCATGCTCTGACCATGGCAGCAGCAAAGAGAAAGACTGCTCTCCAGGCTCCCCCTCGCCCCCACCGCGCAGCAGACTCAGCACCAGCCACAGAGCCCAAACGGAATTGAGTGAGGCCGAGTACGCAGTCCCTCGTCACATGTCACCCTCTATGAAGGACGGCACACCGACATCACGTCGGAGGCTTTCACAGGTGTTATTCTGTTTCCACTGCTGTCTGCCATCCATCCTAGGCTACACGCCTCGAGTGCTCATGGGGCCACAGAGAAAAGGTGGGCTCCTGAGTCCGAGGACCTGGGTTCAAATCCTGCTCTAGTCCCTTTAGACCTGGGTGACCTTGGGCCTCCCTTGGTCTCTCTTTCCTCATCCTTAGAGTCAGGGGCCCTGGATGGCCTCTAAAGGCCCTTCTAGCTCTAAATCTGGGAGTCTGTGAGCTGAAACTCCAACCCAAAAAACATTTATGAAACATCTACTAAGCAAAGACCCCGTTGGAGGCACTGATGCTACAAAGACATGCCCTCCCGCTTACCTCCATGTGGGAGGAGGGGCCAAAGCAGAACGGAACTTGTAATCAGGGAAGGAAACACAAGATAATCCAAGAAGAGAAGCAAGCCCTGACAAGACAAACCTCATGGAGGGAGCCGGAGGAGCTGAGCCTTGACAGAACCTAGGAACTGATTCTAAGAGGAGGTGAGGGAGGGCATTCCAAGAAGGGGCCACAGCCTAGGCAAAGGCACGGTGGTGAGAGACTGAATGTCCCATCCAGGGAAGTCAATTTGGCTTTCCCAGAGGGTGCGCGAAGGTGAGACGTGTGAAACTAGCCTGGGCAGAAAGGCAGGCAAAAAAAAGCCAGACCGTGAGGGATTTTAAAAGCCAAGGAGAGAGGCTTGAATGTTATTCCTCGTCCGACACCTGCAACATGTATAAAAATAAAGGGACACTGGTAAATGCTCTTAGAATGAATGCTAATGTGATTAGTAAACACAGAATAGTGTCATGCCCTCAAATGTAAAAAAGTGATGATGAGGGCTGCGCTACCTACATGGCAGGGCTGGTCTCTTCCCAGAAGGAGCCGGCGACAACGCCTGGTCGAGTTTTGTTAATCAGGATTCAATGGGAGCAGGGAATTTTAAAGGCAAAGCACAGCGACAGAAAGTGTGAGGGGGGGATGCTGAGCAAAGTCTTTGGCAAGGCTGGTGAGACTCCTCAAAGAGAAACAGCGAGGGGAAAGTGGAGGAGACCCTTTAACAGATCAATTCTTGAGTCAAAAACCCAATTTTCTTTGACTGGTCGGTCCCCTCTGATCCTGGCTTCTGCTCCCACAATCCGCACTCTCTCCCCACTCCTCTTAAACTCCTCCCCAACACCCAAAGACTGTTCTTAACATGTTCAGCGCCTCTTCTCAATGGGATCACGGGACCAGGGCTGGGATAGACCTCAGAGGCCTTTCAGCCCGATTCTCATTTTACAAATGTAACCAAAGCCCAAGACTTTCCCAGGATCACACATCAAGTAAGTGTCCAGGTTGACATTTGAACTCAGGTCTTCCTGACTCTAAGTCCACTTTGCTTTTCCTTGGCCATCATATTTCTTCTCTCCCTTTAAAGGGTTAGTCCCTTAATGGCAGGGAATTCAACAAGGCCCTGGTTCATATTTCATGTGGACCACAAGTGACCTGGCACAAAAAGGCTAATCAATGCTTCATCTGTCCATTTATTAATTATCTTGTCAAGACATCAGGAGACACCCTGTTTTCCAGCGCTAAGGCCCAGCAGGCAAGCTGTGCCCTAAGCTTGGTGTAACAACAATCCTTTGTGCTCACCCTCCAGCAAAACCACGTAATTATTGCATTGATTTGACCAGCATCGGGTGTTCTCTGAGCACCCATGACACGTTCCGGGCACGAAGCCTTGCCATGAATCAGGCTTGCCTCACCGTTGCCGTTACCTCTCACTGACAGGGATACAGCTCACTGCGCAACCCTAGGTGTTAAGTATAGAGATCTCCCCACACTGCCTCGGGTCCCCCCACTAGGGGCGGGGCTCCGGCTCATGTGTCCTTGCTCATGAGTCATTCCCCTCGCTATGAAATTAAACTTCTGTTTGCTTCCTGCTCTCCTGTCTCTGGCCTGCTGTGTGCGGCTATGGCCACCCATAGGTCAGAGCCTGATTTGCTCTGGTTAACAATCTATGCCCTGTATAGACAGTACCCAGCACATGGTAGATACTAAGTAAATGCTAGTTATTATAGTAATATTGTTTTACTACTATATTAACAATACAATTATATTAATAATTATATAATAATTACCATGGGTTAATAAATGATATATACTAATAAACATATATAAGTATATATTACTAATAATAATATTGACAATATGTAATATACCATTGTTAGTATTGGCTACATCATTCAAGCCTCGTCTCCGCCTCCTTCCCTGGAAGATGGGGCCACCCCCTGCCCCAGCTCACTCAGAAGGAGGCCGCGATCCGCCACATCCTGGGAGGGGGTGGCGACACCTTCCATCCCAGCTGGTCTTTTGAGCGCCATCATTCTGAGGGGTGGCGCCTCCCTCCCAGGGGCCAGTGAGGTCATCCTACCTTCGTGTCCCCCACGCCGGCCGCTGTGGCTTCTTTAGTTCTGTTCACCTGCTGCACAAGGAGGTCGCAGTACAGCCTGAGCTCCGACATCTTGGTTTTCAAGGTCTCCGTGTTTTCGGTGAACTCTAATGAGGAGAAGAAGCGGTCGTGAGTCTGAGGAAGGAGGATTGGGTCGAGTCAAGGCCAGACAAGGGGGCCATTCATCGCCAAGGCCAAGCCCCTGCAACAGGGCTCTTAACCCGAGGCCAGCGAACTTGCTTTTTTAATGTCGGGATAACGGAATTTCAAAATGATCAGTTCCTTTTGTACTTGTATGTATTTTATTTTGTGCATTTAAAAACACTATTCTGAGCAGGGGCTTCACCAGACTGCTCAAGGAGGCCAGGGCACAAAACAGGTAAGAATCCCCGATCTAAAATGCTTCTAAATTAATGAATGAGTAAGCGCATAAAGCCGAGTTCTCAAGACTCCGACCACAGAATGATTTCTCGGAGTTACAAATGAAGGGGAAAGACTGTGGAAAAGCATCATGGCGGCTGGATCTTATGTTTCCGACATCTGGTGCCTGTGTGACCGTGGGCAAATGCCCTAAAGCTAACCCTAACCCTCCATGGGCCTCCGTTTCCTCATCAGTAAAATGTGGGCACTAGACTGGGTGACCTCTTAGGCCCTGTCTAGGTCCTAAGTCATTTGGCCTCCTTGGGCCTCAGTTTACTCATCTGTAAAATATGAGAGCTGCACTGGATGGCATCCGAAGACCCTTCCAATCAAGGTCTTCAACTCCTCCAAGGGAGGTCAGGAGAACAGAGAAAGATTGCGCCAAACCTTTGTCCATGCTGACCTTATTGATTTATTTATTTGAGAATCTGATCCCAGGTCTAAGCCAGAGTAATGTAGGACCTGCTTGAAAATGGTCATCGTGAAAAAGAAGGCAGCGGGGGTGGCCTTGCAGCTAGTGCAAGGAAGGGTCAAAGTGCTGGTCTTAACTCAGCCACCCTGATCCACAGCTTCCCTACCTGTAAAATGGGACCACTGTCATTTATGTGTCCAAAAAATGCTTTGACAACCACAGGGAAAGACGTTCAGCCACTTGCCACTATCATTAGCCACCTAGACTCCACTCTGGAATGAGAACTGGCCCAACATGTCCTGGGCAAGGCTAATGATGGGCTGATTCGGCACTGACCCCAGCCTCTCGCTATGCTTGGGCCAAGGCCGCTTACTGACAAACTCCATTCTTTTCCCAAGAACAACCATTTATTAAGTGCCTACTATATGCCAGACACCAGACTAGGAATACAAAGAGGAAGAAATGAAATAGTTCTTACCCTCAAGAGGTCTACATTCTATTGGGGGTAGGGGTGGGGAATACAACATATACACAGGTCAGTCGATACAAAACAGCTATTAGTGGGGTAGGATGAGGGTGAGAGGCGGTGAGAAGCAGTCTTTGAGTCAAGTGCTGAAGGAAGTGAGCAGTCCTGGAAGGTGGAGAGAGAAGGAAGCGCATGCCAGGCACCGCAGACAGCCCACGCAAAGGCATGGGGGCAGGAGATGAGATGCCTGGTTTGGCTATAGCACGGCATGTGTGAGGGGAAGAAAACTGAAATCCATCTGGAGAGATGGGATGGAGCCAGGTGGTGAAGGGCACCCCATGCCACACAGGGGAGTTCATGACATCCTCCCCAGAGGGGACAGGGAGCCAGAGAAGCCTCCGAGCAGGGGAAGGACATCGTCAGACAGTGCTGAAGGATCACGGGTCAGGCGGCTGTGGGGACACCAGTCGTGAGGGCCTGCACGGATGATGAAGGGATGTGCTGACGGTGTCTTTTAATACTTCACTGCTGCCAGTGAAGCACCGGGGAACCCACAAAGTCAGAATTAGGAGGGGGAAAACCCTGTTTGAAATGAAATTGTCCCCTACTCCATAAACTTGGGGCTACATGGCTGAGAGACGTGACGAGTGAGCAGGGGACCCAGAGATGAGAAGAAAGCAGGTCCAAGACCCCAGGCCATGCCCACGTCCAGTACTCGCCTTTCTCCTTCTGGGCCCTGCTGTCCGTGAGGCAAGCCTTTGCCGAGCCCAGGGCCACCAGCCACCGCTGTCTCTCTGCCACGTTTCTGGCTTTCAGGTAGAAGTACTGCTCCCCAGGGAGGATCAGATCCATCCGGGTGTTATCTGCGGAGTGAACTGGGACCACGGGGTTGAGGTCAGAAGATGAAAAGGACAATTTCATTCAACCTGTTCCTGCCTCAGCCTTACAGCGAGCCTTCCAGAGGGCCCTTGTCGAGGCGGGCAGGGGCACTGGATATGTTCACCAGATGGAACTTGATATTTACCAATTTCTACTACCTACATAATATTGTTTCTCTTCTGGGAGCAGCCTGCTCTGACTTAAAAGGAGGAACTGTAAGGTCACTGAGGGCAAGGGCCATTTCATTCTTTTCTCTTCATATCCCCACACCTCACACATAGTACGCACTTAATAAGTGATTGTTGGATTGAATGAGCTGGCTTCCAAAGACGGGGAAATCATTAACTGGTCTGAAGGAGACTCCAAGAAAAAAATGGATTTTTCTCATAGGCACTTCAACCAAAGGCTAGATTGCCAGTCTCCTCTATGCGAATGCAAATTATCTTACAGTCAAAAGCAAGGATACCAGTCAGTTGAGACACTGGGGAATATTTTAAGCCCATTTTGGGGATTTCTTTGATGATCTGTTGGGGGACTGGCATTAGTACCTGAGGGTGGGGTGGGGTGGGTAATAAAGCTATGAGCAAAGTATGTTTCCTTTTCTACTTCCCAGGAGAAGCAAACCCCAACAGGGGTGTTCTTGAGGGCTCATTCACGAGGAAAACAACTCCCCAAACTCCTCAGTGGTTCTCAGTTACTCAGGAACCTTAAATGTTTTGGCATGTTCCAGATTGCTGAAGCCAAGCTATATGATGGGAGGGAGGGTGTGTGTGCGTGGTGTTTTCCTTTTTCTTTGTTTGTTCCTTCAACAAACATTTATTGATATTATAATTAGAATATTTAATATTAATAATTAGAACAGGATATTTAATAGAATAATATAATTAGTAAATTTAATTAATATGTGAAAATCAAATCAACAAGTACGTGTTAAGTGTCTACTATATGCTGGGCACTGTGCTGGGTCTTAAGGAGAAGAGACAAGAGAGATATTCTGTCATAATAGTGATTACTAGGGGCAGCTAGGTGGCACAGTAGATAGAACACTGGCCCTGAGTTCAAACGTGACCTTAGACACTTGACACTTACTAGCTGTATGACCCTGGGCAAGTCACTTAACCCCGAGTGCTTCACCAAAAATAAACAAACAAAAAAACACACATAATAATGATTACTAGAGTTTATATTTGCAAAGCACCTACATCTATATTAACTCATTTGATCCTCATAATAACCAAGTGATGCAGATTCTATTAATTATCCCTATTATTTACAGATGAGGAAACTGAGGCTTATAAGAGGCTTTCCCAGGGTCACACAACTAGGAAGTGTCTGAGGCAGGCTTTAAGCCCAAGGTCCAGCGCTCAATCTGCTATGATACCCAACTGCCTTTAATATTCATAGATAAATGAGCCAACTATGCAGAATGCTTTGCAAATATTAAAGCCTAAATAATGCTAGCTATTACATATAAAAGTGGAAAATACACATAAGATATGTATATATTTACATTTATATATCTATATCTATACACACAGGAGATAGACACACATATAAACAATAGTGTATTTACACAACATATCCATATATATATGTATATGTGTATATATATATATATACATATATATGTAGTGTGTATGCACAAACACAGCCCTGTATTATGTGTGTAATATACAAGACACACATGTGCTGTTAGAAGAAGTTTGCTTTGGTCCGCTAAGTGCCTAGAATTTGCTCTGTGCGCGTGTATAGACACACACCTCAGCCTACACCAGAAAGGCACCAGCAGAGAGTAACACAGCCCAGCATTTCCATGGGCTCCTCGAGTACCACGGCCAGCTCCTGCGCCGGTTAAAGGGGAATACTGACTTGGAGACGCCTCACCTTGAATTTCACAGACCGCCATTTGGATGCTTCCTTTGCAGCCCTTCCACGCATCTTCAGGGGAGTCATAATAAGATAATATCCCCCCACAGAGAAGAAACCATCGAGGCTGCCAACCTGCAATGAGAACCAAGAGGTTTCTGACATGCTGCTCTGTCCTGCGCGGGCGAGAGCCTTCCTTGGATATCTGCTGTTCCAGAGGCCAGAGGTGAACCCCGGCCTTCCATGTCAGAGCCCTCTCCTCTACTCACCACATCACGAGACACAGAAGTAGACGGTCTTTGTCGAATCCCATTCAACCTGAAGCTTTGTCAACTACCTGCCACGTGTGGAACCCCAAGGCTTGGCTCCAGGGTTCAAAGATAAAGATCGTCTTCATACACAAAACAACATGATGGTGGCTCTTTCTGTGGTGGCAAAGACCTGAAACCTGGAGAGGTGCTCATCAACCGGCGAATGGCTGAACAAGTCACAGTACATAAATGTGATGGGATACTATTGTGCTATATGAAATGATGGAGGGGTTGGCTTCAGAGAAACTTGGGAAGACTTGTATGAACTGATGCAAAGTGAAGTGAGCGGAACCAGAAGAACAATTTGTACAATACTGTAAATCTAGTATGCTCTAATACAGCAATATTGTAAAGGCAAACACCACGGAAAGACTTAGGAACTCTGATCAGTGTAATGATCGACCTGACAACCAATGACGACAATGGCTGAGGGAGGACAGACCCAGGGTGCAGAATGAGACGTAGATTTTTGCATATGCATTCACATTTGTATATGTAGTACTATATATACACACATACATATACATATATATATATGACTACATACATATATTAGAAGGGATTTTCTTTTCTTTGCAATTGGTTAAAGAAGTAGGAGGGGGAGAAAATAAATGCTTGCTCCTTGAAAAAGTAAAATAAAATTTTTGGAGGTAAAAAAGTCCTTGCCTTCAACTAGTTTACACTCTACTGTTCTCCCTTCAATATTCTTACATTCAAAAGTAATGACAGAGAAGTCTGTTTTTTGGCAAGCGTCTGGGGGAAATGCCTTTGTTTAAATTTCTAACGTGTGTGTGAATAGGACAGAAAAAGTGTCTGAACAGAGGCTTCAGGCACACCACCAGCTGGACACAAACACTCCCAAGCACGCCCCAGAACAGATTAAAATGTAGTCCTTCTCTGATTTAAACGTGCTGATGCATTAATAAAAAATAAATCTATAGCCATGTATGGTTTTCTAAGTCAACACAAAGGCTGCAGTTTAGTAACACCTCCCCTGCCCTGAGTTTGACCATACTGCACTGGAGAATCACCCTGCCTCCCCTCACTTCACCTAACCTGGTGATGAGTCTTTCCAAATGTATCTCCATTTTATAAATGAGGAAACTTGAGGCAAACAGAGGTTAAGTGACTTGCCGAGGATCACACATCTAGAAAGTGTCTGAGGTTGGATTTGAACTCAGATCTCCCTGACTCCAGGCCAACAGCTCTGTGCACTAAATGTTTATTGACTGACTAACTGAAATTTTTATTCTGGGTATGAGATTGGAGATTTTAGAAAATAGCTGGAGGCTCATTTTCCCTCCATTCTAAATCTTCATGCAATTATCTGTTAAATGCTCCCACAGGTGCCTTTAACAAAGGAGAGAGGGACAGATTAATTTTAACTTTTTAAGTTTATCTTTAGTTTATTTTAGTTTATTATTATTTATTGCAATTTAGGTAGCTTAACTTTAGTTATCAATACATTTTAACACAACAGCTTATGCAAGGAGCTTACTGCAGGGATCTGTTACATCCACACACTCTATACAAAGGGATTTCAAGGCTGGGAGATGCTAACATTCAGAGGGAGCAGGAAAAACCTCATTTAAGAGGCGCCAGAAAGGAAATGGAGGATGCTAAGAGGCAGAAGAGAGGTAACAGAGCCTTCCAGGCCTGGGGGCAGCCCTGCCAAAGACTTGGAGAGAAGAGACAGAATGGAAAGTGGGCGGATTGTCTGTCGAGAGTGGGTGAGGAGGAGGAATGTTAAGTAAGTCTGGGAAGGTGGGCTGCAGCCAGATGGCAAAGAACTTTAAATGCACACCATAGAGCTATGTCATGGGATCTTTCACACGGCACAAGGGAAGGGGCCTCTGAGGGCATCACTAGGCCTGCTAGGGCTTTTGGGATATGCTGGACTCTAACTCCTTCATTTAACAGGAAAGGAAACTGAGGCCTAGAGACGCGAGGGGTGGTGACGAGATGAAATCTGCATGTTAGATGTGTCACCTGGGCAGCTATGGGAAGGGAGAGTTGGAGAGGGCATCGCCTGGAACCAAGACCATAATCCAAGTGAGAGGTGCTGAGAGAGGGGGAAAGAAGGGGAAGGGCAAGGACGATGGTAAGGTGGCCAGCCTGGGAGACCTGAGGCTAACGGTCTTCTTAAGAAACACAGGAAAGTCTGGAAGGAAGATGGGTTTAGGGGGAAACAGAATGAATTCTGGTTCTGACTTGTTGAGTTTGGGACCCTGTGGGAACATCGAGGCAGAGATGGGAGGTGGACAATTGGCAGTTTGGGGCTGAAGGTGAGGAGGGAGACCAGAGCTGTGTCTATAGATCTGGGCAGCCCTGCGGTGATCATTTATCCATGTGGGCTGATGGAGGCAGCTAGAGAGGGCATGGAGAGAGGAGAGGGAGCAGGACAGAGGACAAGGCTACACTAACATTCACACTTGGTGCATGTGGAAAAGCCCACTTCTAGCAACCTTCAATCCAGAAGCATTTATTAAGCACCTACTATATGCCAGGCTCAGTGCAAAGCACCGGGGATGTCACATTCTAACGAGAAGACAACATGCAATTAGCAAAGTGCACACAAAATCACTGGAAGGTTTAAACTTTTAGAGGAGCTGGGGAAGAAGGGCAGGGAAGGGATAGGTCTCCTACAGAAGGTAGCATTTGGGCTGTTTTTAAGGGAAGCCAGGGAAACTGAGGAGGGCCAGAATTACAGAGCCTGGGAGACTGAACTGGGCCTCAATAATCTTGGAAATGCAGCAAGCAGGGAAAGAAGCCCTCCTTGGAGTTGAAAGCACAGGTCTCCATCCCCTCCAACACAGCTGGTGTTCAAGGAAGCTGACAAAGTTCACAGAGGCCAATGGCCCCTGGGGCTCCATCTCCCATAAAGTCTCACTGAACAAACTGGCCCTGGGCCATTTCCTGAAAGGCTTCTGGTTGAAAAAAAAGTGGAATTTAGGAGATAGGGCCCTGGACAAGGGCCAACAGCCTGGCTCAGCACCAGGACCAAAAAGGCCTCAACTACAATTCTATACAAATTCTAAATTTCACTCTCAGTGACAAAAAGAAACCCGACAGGCCAGGATCTTGGTATTTCAGTACTTTCTTGAGTTTGCCTGGAGCCTTTCACAGAGTGGGTGAGCACCTCATAAAAACCTGAATGGCATCTCAGATTTCTATCCACAGAAGACATCAATTCAAGATTGAGTCCATGTCTTACTCAGAGAGTGTCAGAGGTGGAATTCAAGGCCAGGTCTTCCTGCCTCCAAGTTAAGCATTCTCTCCACAACCTCCCCTTCCACCTCCAACAAAGTTTTAATGGCCAGGTGGGGCAGAGAGAAATCAACACTGGGCTAGGGATAAGACGACAAGTTCTAGCCTTGCCTCCAACAAAAAATTAGCTGAGGGCAGCTAGGTGGCACAGTGGATACAGCACTGGCCCTGGATTCAGGAGGACCTGAGTTCAAATCCAGCCTCAGACACATAATACTTCCTATCTGTGTGACTCTGGGCAAGTCACTTAACCCCAACTGCCTCACTAAAAAAAAAAAAAAAAAAAAAAAAAAAAATTTAGCTGGGTGATGCTGGCATAGTTACCAAGCCTTGCTGGACCTACATCTCATCATCTATGAAACAAAGACACCATGATCCCCCCACCCCCTTCCCCCCTTTCCCAGCTTAAGCACTCACAGAACTGGTATGAGAATAAAAGATGTGCATAAAAGCACCTTTAAGAATATAATATTTTATAGAAGAATAAGATAGTAGTAAAATTTAATTCCAGACCCTAAAGAATTTCCCAAACACCTTGTAGTCTCAGCCCTGCCTCCTAGAGCCAAATGGACTTGAAGAGCTCCTGGGGGAAATGTCTGTCACCCTCCCTGCTGCCCCCCACCCACCCACAATGACCCCAAATTCTCTGAGTTTAATACAGTGAAAAGAGCAATGTCTTAGTATTCACAAGTCCCAGGTTCAAATCCTGTCACTGACGCTTTTACCCCAGATGACCTTGGGCAAGTCACGTAATCTCTATAGGCCTCCATTTCCTCATCTGTAGTATGAGGTCTCTAAGGGACCTTCGAGCTTTAGGTCTACGAACCTATGATTTATGATAAAGACTATAATTGCTTCAAACTAACAGGGCCACAGCACACTCTGTGGCTTGAAATATGTGACAAAACCCGTAAGTGGTGGTCTAGGGGCTACCCCTGGTTGATAAAGGGAGGGTCAAGGGGGTTCGGGAAGAAGACGGAAGTGGGCAACAATATACGCATGGACACAGAGGGCAGTGGAGGACGTGTGTGTGTGTGTGTGTGTGTGAGTCAGAGGGTTGAGACCCATGTGTATACTGGAGAAAGGAGAGGCTTTCAAAGGTAGGAAGCAGACACAGGCCAGAAAGAGGATAGTCAGGTTCAGGTGTGTAAGGGAAACCACAGGCATTGAATGCGAGGAGAGGCTCAGGCAGTGTGCAGTGTGTGGAAATGGCGGTACCCCATGTCAAGGAGTGTGAGGCAGATGGGAAAGCAGAGAGGGTCCCTGGAAGGACACGGGAGATTGGAAGCTCCCCAAGGACAGGACCAAAGTGTTTTAAAAGTTTTTAAACCCCTGATGAGTGCTTTAGCTGGATGAGATGCTGCATGTTTGTGGGTCTGAACTGCCCCATCTTGGGAAGACAGGTGGCAGACAGGGCTCCCCTTCTGTCCTCACCCACCTGCCACCCTGGGATTGGCGGAATCACAGGGATCCAGGGGCTGGAAGGAACCGCAGAGGCCAGCCACAGCTGACCCCTCCAGCAACAGATGAGGAAACTGAGGCTGCCCAGGGAGGGTCCAAGATGAACCAGCACTCTTCTCATTGTCCCTCTTGGTAACACCCCTACTCAAGGAAACCAGGATCTGACCAATGGTTTCTAGAATGTATCTAACAAGGTCAGGAAGAGGGCATGATGTGACGAAGAGAGTGCTGGAGTCAGGAAGTCCTGAGTTCCAATCTCGCCTCAGACACAGCTAGGTGACCCTGGGCAAGTCACTTAACCTCTGCCTGCCTCAGTTTCCATCTGTAACAGAGGGATAAT